TCACTTGTTTCAGGTATTGATTGATTACTTGTTCCAGGTATTGATTGATCACTTGTTTCAGGTATTGATTGATCACTTGTTTAAGGTATTGATTGATCACTTGTTTAAGGTATTGATTGATCACTTGTTTCAGGTATTGATTGATCACTTGTATCAGGTATTGATTGATCACTTGTTTAAGGTATTGATTGATCACTTGTTCCAGGTATTGATTGATCACTTGTTCCAGGTATTGATTGATCATTTATTCCAAGTATTGATTGATCACTTGTTTCAGGAATTGATTGATCACTTGTTTAAGGTATTGATTGATCACTTGTTTCAGGTATTGATTGATCACTTGTTTAAGGTATTGATTGATCACTTGTTTCAGGTATTGATTGATTACTTGTTCCAGGTATTGATTGATCACTTGTTTCAGGTATTGATTGATCACTTGTTTAAGGTATTGATTGATCACTTGTTTCAGGTATTGATTGATCACTTGTTCCAGGTATTGATTGATCACTTGTTTAAGGTATTGATTGATCACTTGTTTAAGGTATTGATTGATCACTTGTTTAAGGTATTGATTGATCACTTGTTTAAGGTATTGATTGATCACTTGTTTAAGGTATTGATTGATCACTTGTTTAAGGTATTGATTGATCACTTGTTTAAGGTATTGATTGATCACTTGTTTAAGGTATTGATTGATCACTTGTTTAAGGTATTGATTGATCACTTGTTTAAGGTATTGATTGATCACTTGTTTAAGGTATTGATTGATCACTTGTTTAAGGTATTGATTGATCACTTGTTTAAGGTATTGATTGATCACTTGTTTAAGGTATTGATTGATCACTTGTTTAAGGTATTGATTGATCACTTGTTCCAGGTATTGATTGATCACTTGTTCCAGGTATTGATTGATCACTTGCTTCAGGTATTGATTGATTACTTGTTCCAGGTATTGATTGATCACTTGTTTAAGGTATTGATTGATCACTTGTTTCAGGTATTGATTGATCACTTGTTTCAGGTATTGATTGATCACTTGTTCCAGGTATTGATTGATCACTTGTTCCAGGTATTGATTGATCACTTGTTTAAGGTATTGATTGATCACTTGTTTGAGGTATTGATTGATCACTTGTTTAAGGTATTGATTGATCACTTGTTCCAGGTATTGATTGATCACTTGTTCCAGGTATTGATTGATCACTTGTTCCAGGTATTGATTGATCACTTGTTTGAGGTATTGATTGATCACTTGTTTTTCCCCTGGATGGATGATTTTTATTTTCATTTTAATACATTTTTAACAGATATTTAACAGGCATCTGAGTAAAGGGTTTTATTATTTTTATTGACCACACTAACATATGCACTTACACGAGGCACTTTAATAAGTGCATAAAAACTCTCAAATAATCGACTCGAAACTTGAGGTAATAATATTTTAATAGAGAAGAGGGGTGAGAGGAGACATGATTGCAGCATATAAAATACATAGGCAAATAAACAGGTTGAATATATATATATATATATATATATATATATATATATATATATATATATATATATATATATATATATATATATATATATATATATATATATAAGTTCACAATCAATTAGAACAAAAGGATATACGGATTTGAAAGCAAAATTGTTGAATCGTGGAACAGTCTACTGAGTATCAGAATAGATCAACCCTATTCTTAGAGAGAGAGAGAGAGAGAGAGAGAGAGAGAGAGAGAGAGAGAGAGAGAGAGAGAGAGAGAGAGAGAGAGAGAGAGAGAGAAAGAATATGAGAGAGAATATGGATTAGTCTCAAAGTTTTAGCAGCTTTATTAATCCTTTATTCATCACACCTCACTTTAATATCTCAAGAATATCAACGTGAGTGGTCTTGACACTTGAAATTCATTAGTTTAGCCAAAAATTCCGTTTTCTGTTGCTAGAGCTGAGTAATGAAGCCCTTATATACGTTTCAAAATATTTCATGTTCAGCGTGAGAAAATTTTATGGTATTTCTTTTTAAGCTGGCAATAGTTTGGCTACATTATATAACTGTCGAATTAGCATTTATTTTATGTTTTTTATAGGTTTATTTTCGTGTTTTTCTCTCTGTTATCTGGCTCAGTTTTGGACGTATTTACGTGTAGCCTAAAGCGCCCTGTGTCTGGTCAGAATTTATGATACATTATATTATGATCATTATATTATACTTTTTGTGATCATTATATTATACTTTTTGTCATCATACTCTTTGATCATTATACACTACTTTGTCATACTCTTTGATCATTATATTATACATTTTGCGATCATACTTTGAGATCATTATATTATACTTTTTTGTGATCATGCTCTTTGATCATTATATAATACTTTTTATTATCATTATATTATATTTTTTGTGATTATACTCTGTTATCATTATATTATACTTTAGTGAAGTCATAATACCTCATGAACTCATTAAACCGTATTCATCATACTTCCGAAACTCATTATAGAAAATGGGCTGTGTTCATTATATTCCCCGAACTCATTGTAGAGAACGGGCTGTTCCCCTTATACTCACTATAATGAATGTGCTATATACATTATACTCTATGAAATCATTATAGGGAATTCCCTTTGTATGCATTGTATTCTCATAATTCATTATACTCCCCCTGTAGCCAGATTCCTGAGCATATGGCCATGATCTGACAAACGTCAAATTTGAAGCGGTTTCGAACCTACCAAATGGTCAGTGTAGGGGGGGGGGAAAACGTCGGATTTACGACGTTTTTCAGTAAAACGTCGGAATTGGGACGTTTCGGTCGGTAGAGACGATTTATTTCGGTGTTTAATGGGCGAGGACAGTTTGGCTGTATTTCTGTATGTCATACAGAAGTCCACGCGCACTTGTGTATGATACAAGTCATACAGCCTGCTACTGTATGAAATACAGTATGATTCAAAATTGGGAGTCGCTTACCTTGTCCAGGTAGACAGGCAAAACTAGACAGAATGCAATGGCTAGACGGGAATCGACAGAGTTTAAGGATCGTCGTTTGAGAATCCCAAGACGAACACAAATTTTTCCCAGGTCGTGTCGAAGTCGAGGCCATGATTAACGGAACACATAGGGAGAAGAGAGGTGACCTTATGACCTCAGGAACTTATCAGTAGGTCAAGGGTCATATAGGAGAGAGAGAGAGAGAGAGAGAGAGAGAGAGAGAGAGATAGTATCTCCCATACTAGGTCTTCTAGTGATGCTGTTGTTAACTAGGCTGTTAGTCCAACTGATATATATATATATATATATATATATATATATATATATATATATATATATATATATATATATATATATATATAGCTGGAACAGAAGCCTGGAGACTATAGACAGGAATTTAATGATAAAAATTTTTCCTCTAATACCTTGTCTTTCTTGTACCTTTTCCCTCTGTTTATTCCTGTGGTTCTATTCGTCTTCGCCCTTCTTCTCTCTTCCTTCTTCTTTATTATCTTTCTGTTCCGTCGCCTGTTTTCTAGTACTCACACTCTCTTCACTACTCTAATCTTTATGCTGTGTTTTCTCTCTCTTTACCTACCCTCCCATTCTCCTTGTCTGGGTATTATATCCTCTCCTACTTTCTCCTCCATCTCTTCTTTCGTACTTTAATTTCTCTATCCTTTCTATCTCTTATTTATCTTTCTTTCGACCTCTTTTTCGGCTTGTTTCATCTCTCATTTGTCCACACACTGCTGCCAATATGGTCTCTCTCTCTCTCTCTCTCTCTCTCTCTCTCTCTCTCTCTCTCTCTCTCTCTCTCTCTCTCTCTCTCTCTCTCTCTCTCTCTCTCTCGCCCCACCAAACAGCTTTGACCTTCTATTGTTGAATTTCTTGGAAGGTTTCCTTCTCACATTCAAGAATTGTGTTTTTCCACTAAGGATTTCTTCATCCTGGATGGCAGGAGGCTGCGAGCTTCTGTTTCATCTGTCCACCTCTTGTGGCGCGGTGTGTGCTTGTGTTTACACTGTGTGTGTGTGTTTACACTGTGTTTGTGGCTTACGACTCAAAATTAAAGTCTCCTGGCTCAAAGAACCCTGTAACCACTTAGTGTGAACTCTACAGGGAGGAAAAAACATGGAAAGTGGGGCTCTGTACCTCTATAAACATCGACTGATTTGGAGAGGAATTACTGACAATTAGCGAGACTGGATCAATACACCCGAGGCGACGGACGGCCACTAATGCTTCGCACAGGGGTGCTATAGGCACACATTAAGGGGGTCTATTGTTCAAACATTACATTGTTTAGGCCTTGAGATGGGTTGTTGTATGGTCCCCCTAGTTGAGGCAAACTGAATTGATGTGCGTGGCGAGGACAGGGTTGTCGCTTCCGGTTGGGAAGGACTTTGTATATGGGTTGCTAATGGAGAAATCACTTGCATGGGGAGCCGCTACGACGGGTCCCCGAAAAGTACATAGTGTCGAGTCGAGCAGTGTCATGTGGTTCTCTGGTCTCGGTCTTGTGTGATTCATTGGTCTTGGTCTTGTGTGATTCGCTGGCCTCGCTCTTAACTGGTATTTCCATGGGAATATTGCATTGCTAAACATACCAGTTAGTTTGGTCTCTAGTAATGCTATTACATCAGGGTCTGTTTCCTCAGTTCTCTTCCTTGAGTTCATCTGCTTTATTTGACAGTCCATCAGCATTGGTATATCAGTATATCAGATCTTCAGGGACTTTGTTGTGGTCCTTTACTGTGAATGGTTAGTTTCCAGTCTAGGTATGGGATTTAGGTTAGTGTGAGGATGGATTTGGGATGTGGAAGAGAGAGGGGGGAGGGGGGATGTCTGTGAGGCGCTTGGCTGGAGTTGGAGGTGTGTGATGGAGTCATGTTTGTGCTAGGGTTAGAGGGTCAGGGGAGGTTAACCAGCTAACCATCTGGTTCGCTGGTGGTTCTCTGGTGGTTCGCTGGTGGTTAGCTGGTGGTTCTCTGATGATTTACTAATGGTTTGCACGTGGTTCTCTAGTGGTTCATTCTTACACTGTTGCACAGAGGGTTCACTGTTACACGACTCTGATCTACCAATGCCAAACTCTGATCTACCAATGCCAAACTCTGATCTACCAGTACCAAACTCTGATGTACCAGTACCAAACTCTGATCTACCAATGCCAAACTCTGATCTACCAGTTCCAAACTCTGATCTACCAGTACCAAACTCTGATCTACAGTGCCAAACTGATCTACCAGTGCCAAACTCTGATCTACCAATGCCAAGATCTGATCTACCAGTACCAAACTCTGATCTACCAGTACCAAACTCTGATCTACCAATGCCAAACTCTGATCTACAGTGCCAAACTGATCTACCAATGCCAAACTCTGATCTACCAATGCCAAACTCTGATCTACCAGTACCAAACTCTGATGTACCAGTACCAAACTCTGATCTACCAATGCCAAACTCTGATCTACCAGTTCCAAACTCTGATCTACCAGTACCAAACTCTGATCTACAGTGCCAAACTGATCTACCAGTGCCAAACTCTGATCTACCAATGCCAAGATCTGATCTACCAGTACCAAACTCTGATCTACCAGTACCAAACTCTGATCTACCAATGCCAAACTCTGATCTACAGTGCCAAACTGATCTACCAGTACCAAACTCTGATCTACCAATGCCAAACTCTAATCTACCAGTGCCAAACTCTGATGTACAGTGCCAAACTCTGATCTACAGTGCCAAGATCTGATCTACCAGTACCAAACTCTGATCTACCAATGCCAAACTCTGATCTACCAGTACCAAACTCTGATCTACCAGTACCAAACTCTGATCTACCAGTACCAAACTCTGATCTACCAGTACCAAACTATGATCTACCAATGCCAAGATCAGATCTACCAGTACCAAACTCTGATCTACCGGTACGACAGCTCTAGTACACAACTCCATGATTTACATAGCAAGATTTTTTTTTATATTTTATATTATTTTGACTGTGAGGATAGATGGCTTTGTCTTGAGAGGAAGAAAGGCTTGTCTGCTCGTCCAATTAGCGAGGGAGATGGGGCTCGAGTCATTTTTTCTCGCTTCCGGCTCATTACTTTAAGCTGACGAGCCGTTTTTAGGGTCCTGGTTCGGGGTCCTGATTCCTAAATGACTCTTCCCGTAGTCTTGGTGATAACGGTCTGGTTTTGTCCACTTTAATGATATTTTTTCTTGATTAATTTTGCGAGACATTTAAGGAAAAAGTAGTTTTTAATGCAAATTTTATTTTTATATTTTTAATAAGAGAAAAGTTTATGGAATTTTTAAAAGATTATTTTTTTTTCGTTTTTTAAAAGATTATTTTTTTTTGTTTTTTAAAAGATTCAGTTTCTTTGATTTTTAAAAGATTCAGTTTCTTTGATTTTTTAAAAGATTCAGTTTCTTTGATTTTTTAAAAGATTCTGTTTCTTTGATTTTTTAAAAGATTCAGTTTCTTTGATTTTTTAAAAGATTCAGTTTCTTTGATTTTTTAAAAGATTCAGTTTCTTTGATTTTTAAAAGATTCAGTTTCTTTGATTTTTAAAAGATTCAGTTTCTTTGATTTTTTAAAAGATTCAGTTTCTTTGATTTTTTTAAAAGATTCAGTTTCTTTGATTTTTTAAAAGATTCAGTTTCTTTGATTTTTTTTAAAAGATTCAGTTTCTTTGATTTTTTAAAAGATTCAATTTCTTTGATTTTTAAAAGATTCAGTTTCTTTGATTTTTAAAAGATTCAGTTTCTTTGATTTTTTAAAAGATTCAGTTTCTTTGATATTTTAAAAGATTCAGTTTCTTTGATTTTTTAAAAGATTCAGTTTCTTTGATTTTTTAAAAGATTCTGTTTCTTTGATTTTTTAAAAGATTCAGTTTCTTTGATTTTTTAAAAGATTCAGTTTCATTGATTTTTTAAAAGATTCAGTTTCTTTGATATTTTAAAAGATTCAGTTTCTTTGATATTTTAAAAGATTCAGTTTCTTTGATTTTTTTTAAAGATTCAGTTTCATTGATTTTTTTTTAAATCTGGTTTGTGAATTTTATATAAACTTAGTTAATTCTTTTTTATATCAATAATTAGTTTCGTTAACTTTTAAAGATCTAATTTCGCGAACTTTTAAAAGATAAATTTATTACCAGGTATTAAAGCTAATTTCTAACATATATTGTAAGATTTGTTTTGACCAAAAAAAAAACTTAAACCATATTTAAAACCCTATAAATAATCAATTTTTTCTTGCCTAGATTTAATACTATTTTTATTATAATTTTACAACCAATTAATAAAAATTACTTAAGATAATTTAAATAAATTATTTAGAATCATGTTAATTTCATTATATTTAAAATCTTTTCTAAAGACGATAAATTTTATAATTACCTGTGCTTTACCTGTTGATGATTTCGAGAGTTTTATTACTGAAATCTTCCCTGGTGATTGTGGTCAGCCTTCCCTGGTGATTGTCTGTGGTCAGTCTTCCCTGGTGATTGTCTGTGGTCAGTCTTCCCTGGTGATTGTCTGTGGTCAGTCTTCCCTGGTGATTGTCTGTGGTCAGTCTTCCCTGGTGATTGTCTGTGGTCAGTCTTCCCTGGTGATTGTCTGTGGTCAGTCTTCCCTGGTGATTGTCTGTGGTCAGTCTTCCCTGGTGATTGTCTGTGGTCAGTCTTCCCTGGTGATTGTCTGTGGTCAGTCTTCCCTGGTGATTGTCTGTGGTCAGCCTTCCCTGGTGATTGTCTGTGGTCAGTCTTCCCTGGTGATTGTCTGTGGTCAGTCTTCCCTGGTGATTGTCTGTGGTCAGTCTTCCCTGGTGATTGTCTGTGGTCAGTCTTCCCTGGTGATTGTCTGTGGTCAGTCTTCCCTGGTGATTGTCTGTGGTCAGTCTTCCCTGGTGATTGTCTGTGGTCAGTCTTCCCTGGTGATTGTCTGTGGTCAGTCTTCCCTGGTGATTGTCTGTGGTCAGTCTTCCCTGGTGATTGTCTGTGGTCAGTCTTCCCTGGTGATTGTCTGTGGTCAGTCTTCCCTGGTGATTGTGGCCAGCCTTCCCTGGTGATTGTGGTCAGTCTTCCCTGGTGATTGTGGCCAGCCTTCCCTGGTGATTGTGGCCAGCCTTCCCTGGTGATTGTGGCCAGCCTTCCCTGGTGATTGTGGCCAGCCTTCCCTGGTGATTGTCTGTGGTCAGTCTTCCCCGGTGATTGTCTGTGGTCAGTCTTCCCTGGTGATTGTCTATGGTCAGTCTTCCCTGGTGATTGTCTATGGTCAGTCTTCCCTGGTGATTGTCTATGGTCAGTCTTCCCTGGTGATTGTCTGTGGCCAGTCTTCCCTGGTGATTGTCTGTGGCCAGTCTTCCCTGGTATTTGTCTGTGGTCAGTCTTCCCTGGTGATTGTCTGTGGTCAGTCTTCCCTGGTGATTGTGGTCAGCCTTCCCTGGTGATTGTCTGTGGTCAGTCTTCCCTGGTGATTGTGGCCAGCCTTCCCTGGTGATTGTCTGTGGTCAGTCTTCCCTGGTGATTGTCTGTGGTCAGTCTTCCCTGGTGATTGTCTGTGGTCAGTCTTCCCTGGTGATTGTGGTCAGCCTTCCCTGGTGATTGTCTGTGGTCAGTCTTCCCTGGTGATTGTCTGTGATCAATCTTCCCTGGTGATTGTCTATGGTCAATCTTCCCTGGTGATTGTCTGTGGTCAGTCTTCCCTGGTGATTGTGGTCAGTCTTCCCTGGTGATTGTGGTCAGCCTTCCCTGGTGATTGTCTGTGATCAGCCTTCCCTGGTGATTGTCTGTGGTCAGTCTTCCCTGGTGATTGTCTGTGGTCAATCTTCCCTGGTGATTGTCTGGTCTCCTACCATATCTCTCTCTCTCCAGAATATTGCACTGCTCCTTAATAGTACTTTCCACAGCATATATATATATATATATATATATATATATATATATATATATATATATATATATATATATATATATATATATATATATATATATATATATATATATATATATGTCGTACCTAGTAGCCAGAACTCACTTCTCACCCTACTATGCAAGGCCCGATTGCCTAATAAGCCAAGTTTTCCTGAATTATTATATTTACTATAATTTTTTTCTTATGAAATGATAAAGCTACCCTTTTCACTATGTATGAGGTCAATTTTGGAGTTAAAATTAACGTAGATATATGACCGAACCTAACCAACCCTACCTAACCTAACCTAACCTAACCTATATACATAGGTAAGGTTAGGTTAGGTAGCCAAAAAAAGCTTGGTTAGGTTAGGTTAGGTAGGTTAGGTAGACGAAAAAACATTAATTCATGAAAACTTGGCTTATTAGGCAAATCGGGCCTTGCATAGTAGGCTGAGAAGTGAGTTCTGGCTACTAGGTACGACATATATATATATATATATATGTATATATATATATATATATATACTGTATATATATATATATATATATATATATATATATATATATATATATATATATATATATATATATATATATATATATATATATATATATAAAGTCTTAAATATATCTTTATATCGTCAGCATGAAATTTCGGGAATAATCTTGATTTTTGTCACTGTCCAAATAGTCTCGACATATTCTTATATACCTGAAATTTGATAATGAAATATATTGACAGGTTGGAGTGAGTGTTTCATCAGTCACCACAACCGTGAACTCTCCTGAAACGTAAAATAGAAAGTGATTCAATATTAAATGAACAAATATGTAGTGTGTGATTCAATATTATATTTGCATCAATTTTTTTTTTCTCTCCTTGTATATGAAGAGAAATTGAAAAAAAAAGGTGTGTCTGGTCGATGGAAATTGATCATATTAAACTTAATAAGACAATTTGAAGTGTTACCAACTAAGGATGTGATTTGAAATGCCTTGTTTGCTAGTGGCCAGTTATATAAGTTTCTGTAAATTACTTGGAAATTCGAAGATTAATAATTCAAAATTAATTTTGACACGGTGAAATCTTGAAGTAGGATTTATCACGTGGGAAAATATTAAGGCAATAAAATGGGATCGAACCTAAACCATTTCAATTTAAAATTTAAATACGCGTTTCGCTAAGCAACTCCTTAGCACCGACAGAGGTAAAGTGATGGTGATTACTTAATGGAGTAAATAATGTCTCATTAGCGAATATAGGTGAGAAATTATCTTAAATAACAAATCAGATCGAGAAAAGATTGTATATATATATATATATATATATATATATATATATATATATATATATATATATATATATATATATATATATAGATATATATATATATATATATAGATATATATATATATATATATATATATATATATATATAGATATATATATATATATATATATATATATATATATATATATATATATATATATATATATATATATATATATATATATATATATATATGTAAAATAGCAAACTTTTGCACATTCAACTCACACTCTCAGGGACCTGCCTCAGAAGCACTATTTCCAATTTCCAAATTTACTCTCCAATTTACTCCCCCCCCCCTGTGTTGTGTCTATGTGTTAGTTGAAATAGTGGCCAGGCTGGCCCGCTGGATTATTGATCACTCTCAAAGGTGGAGGTCAATAATCCTCTTAGAAATTATCCTCCAGTGAAACAGATATCACACACACACACACACACACACACACACACACACACACACACACACACATGTATGCGGCCCCAGCATGGAGGCCGTACCT